AAGGAAAAGCTTGCTGGGGTAGCCAGTCCTGGGAAAGGGGGAGGGTGGCCAATGGTGGGGGAGGGGGGGAGCTCCAGTGCACGAGAGGAGGAGGGAAGCAGAAAGGGGAGCAGGCAGAGTCCTGGGCCCGCTGTGCCTCCCCCAGACCCTGCGCTGCCTGGCACTCCTCACAGGGGCCCTGCTGTGAGCAGGGGGCTTCCCAGCAGTCCTTGCCTCGTGGGCCGTCAGGTCTCCTAGATCCCAGTGATAGGCTTCCCTCTCCTCAACTTGCCAGCTTTTGCAGCCTGAGTCCCACAGCCCGTGGGCACTGTGCCAACCCCTGCCTTACCTCCAGTGGTTCTACCTGCGCCCCAGCCTCCTTTCTTCCCTCAGCTCTGAGGCCCAAGGGGTCCAGGATGTGGTCTTGTTTAGTCTCTTCTTCCCCACCATCCTCTACAGATTTTCTCTCTCTGCAGGAAAGGGAAGGGAAAGAACAAGAACACAGTGGTTGGGGGTGGATGGGGACACAATGGATCTAAAGAAATTTGAGTTGTCCTCCAAAAATCCCAGCCCTGTCATGTTCATCACCATCATGGTTAGGGATCATGTTTATTGGGCTCTTACCATGGGTCAGGCATCACCTCACTCAGCACTCCAGAATGTCCCGGAGTCCCAGGTCACAGAGGCAATCCCTGGCAGAGCCAGCCCCACAGTGTGCCCCCTGAGCTGTGCCGGAACCCCCATGGTGGGGCATCCTGCCTCCTGTGGTCCTGTCCCAAAGGAGAACAATTTGTCCTCTGGCCATGGAGCCTTGAAGCCGACGCAATGAATACAAGTGCTTCCTCCCCTTTGCTGCTCTGGCATTCCACTTCCTGTCATGGGCACATCCTTTAATGGGCCTGGATCCCCTGATCTGATGCTTTCATCCCCTCCTCACCTTAATGAAGTGTCTGTTTCAGGTAGAAAATGACACCAGGTCCTCATGCCCCTACCTGTTGGGGTGACCTGAGTTGGGATTTGAGCTAAGGTACCATCTCAGCTAATCCCATGCTTGCTCTGTGCCTCTGTGAAGGCATGCCTGCCCCTTCTCTCCCCACACAACTTAATAGCACAGATATGACTTGCAAATGTTCAGGGGTATTGCAGGCTTACAAGACAGCTGGGGAACAGGCCACCTCATCGCCCCCACCCAGGCTCTTGAACCCCAGGACCTGGGCATCCTCCGAGAGACTTGTGGGGCCCCGGTGGCCACAGGCTCTGAGCCCCACCAGCAGATGGGAGCTGCTGCCCAAGAAGCAGCAGCTCCCCATCTTGGGTACCCAGAGGTTGAAAAGGACTAAGAAAGCAGCCTGGGAGGATCACAGCCTGTGAGGAGTGGTGCCGGGGGTCCCAGATTACTAATTCAGGACCTTGTTCACCATTGGACCCTCAGCATCAGCACCATGCCAGGTACAAAAGAAGGGGCAATAGACTTTTAAGTCTGTCTCCCTGCACAGGACCGGAAAGGCATGGGCTCAACCCTGGGGGTGTGGACATACTGCCATAGAGTCCAGAAACCTGTCAGATCCAAAAGTCATGAATGGAGTGCTTTGAGCTGCTCAGGAGTCAGGTATCAGACCCCTCTGAGAACGACCTTCACCGAACTCCTTACTTGCGAATGGAGACAGGTGAGTAAGGGCTTCCACCCTGGGGCCGAGAAACAGGTCTGACCCTCAAAGGAGACAGACTTCTCATTTGCACATCACTTTCTACAGTTCTCACAGCCTGGTTCACGGAAGCCACACATTTGTCCAGGCTTCCTGACTCTTCACACACACAGATCTCCACCTCCATGTTGTCCCCTCCACTCGATGGGAAAGGCATAACTCTGCGGATGAGGAAAGGTTAAATGCTCTCATCAGGGATAGAAGCCCGGCAGGGAGAGAACCTGGACGCTAGTCTGGACCTCAAATGCCTCCTCAGACATTTTCCAAGTTATGGTGCTTTTAACTTTGGTGGAGAGATTCTCGTCTCCTCTGCTGGATTGAAGGCTCTGGGTGGGCAACAAAGAGTTTTGTATCTTTACTTCATTGAATCTGTTTTTTTCCCTTTTTTTTGGTAAGATTTTATTTATTAATTTGACAGAGAGAGAGCACAAGCAGGGATGAGGAGCAGAGGGAGAGGGAGAAGCAGACTCCTTGCTGAGCAGAGAGCCCCACACGGGGCTGGACCATGACCAGAGCCAAAGGCAGACGTTTAACTGACTGAGCCACCCAGGCGCCCCTGTTGAGTCTGTTCTATTCACCTAAGTATGCATGTGAATGCAATGGTGGATGAGTGGAATTAAATGAACTTTAGCAGAGACTAATTCTTCCTACCAGACCCTCACCACCCCTCCCACTTTTACCCAAGTACCTCAACAGCTTATTTTTTCCTTCCCTTTGTTGGCTTCTGTCATTGGACTCAGTGTATATATAAAGAGCTCTGAGCACAGACAGTTTGAAAAGGGCAAAATAAAAATAGCTGATTAGTCGATAATAGAATGGCAAAGTCTCTAAGTACCACGGGGGAGGTCATTAGTCTTAAAGCTGGCTGGAAAGAGATGAGGTGGGGTGGGCAGAAGCCTCTCTGAGAGCTGGGCTTGCTCTGAGGTGATGCAGGTGATTCCTCCTGGTTGGTGGAGATGGGAGGCAACAGCCAGTCAGAGGTTCTTTCTGCTTTTGTTCTGTCTTGGCCAGTGACCATCCTGAGGCTCCTGCTCCTTACCAAACTGGCCTGCTAGATGCTCACTGTGGAATAGGAAGTGCGGCGCCTACCTGCAAGGGACTGCTTCTCTCTCTCCCTCTGCTCCTCATCCCTGTTTGTGCTCTCTGTCAAATTTTTTTTAAAGATTTTTTTTTTTTTTTTGACAGAGACACAGCGAGAGAGGGAACACAAGCAGAGGGAGTGGGAGAGGGAGAAGCAGGCTTGCCTGCGGAGCAGGGAGCCCGATGCGGGGCTCGACCCCAGGACTCTGGGATCATGATCTGAGCCGAAGGCAGACGCTTAACGACTGAGCCACCCAGGCGCCCCTCTCTCTGTCAAATTAATAAATAAAATCTTACCCAAAAAAGGGAAAAAACAGATTCAATGAAGTAAAGAGATAAAACTCTTTGTTGCCCACCCAGAGCCTTCAATCCAGCACAGGAGACAAGAATCTCTCCACCAAAGTTAAAAGCACTATAACTTGGAAAATGTCTGAGGAGGTATTTGAGGTCCAGACCAGTGTCCAGGTTCTTTCCCTGCCGGGCTTCTATCCCTGATGAGAGCATTTAACCTGGCCTAGTATGCAGAACCCTCTGCCCCTGCTAAGAGTACTTAGCTAAATTAGGCCTCTCTACCACCACGTCCCTCCCATGACACTGTACCTGACTGTTCCTCTGCTTAGGCTCTTTCTGGCTGGTATTGATCGTTGCTTTTATTGGCAAACAGTATACCACGATAAAAATAAAACACAAGTGTTTGTGCAGGGAGAGAGTAAAATGGATTCTGTGTCTCCAGGGCTGGCAGAAAACTTGCTCTGAGACCCAGTGGTCAACCTGGTACCTGATTCTCCCCAGTGCACCTCTGCAATTATTGTAAGGACGTTTGTCTGTCTGTCTCCTTCCCCTTGACAGGACAGGCGGCTGTGGTCTTCCCCACACCTCCTGAGTGCTTGTTGCTCAATTCATAGTTGCTAATTGACACCAAGGTAGGGCCTTCCAGGAAGCAGTCATTTCAGGGCTAGGCCTGGCACCACACCTCTCAGCTCATTTTCACATGTGTGTGCCCCAGCTGGCCAGTCACCACAATTGGGGGTTAGGGGTTTGGTCCGGTGGGGCAGGCAACAACATCAGCTACATACAACATTCAGAGTTGTCCTGTCCTGTTCAATGCCTAGGCCAGTTGTTCCCATAAGCTTGGAGAGGTGGTGCCCTATTATCATTCTTACCCCCATTTCAGAGCTGAAAGACACTCCAATGTGCCTTACCAATCACACAAGCCTCTTTTAAAATAGCAATGTGGGGGGACTCCCAATTTGTGCCTAGGTTCAATTTCTTCCTCCGTTATATGGACAAATAACACTACCTCTTAGGGTTGTTCAAAGGATACTTGTTGATGGTCTGTTTCTGCTCTTGACTGTAAAAAGCGGGCAGGGACTTTGGCTTATTCACTGCCAGAGCCTGGAACAAGTGTCCACCCGGCACATAGTAGGTGCTCAATATTTGTGTCCTAAATGGAAATGGCATGAGAAGAGCCTAGGCCAGACCCTGACGCTTCCATCTGCTAGTACCTTCTATATCCTTAGTTCCCCAGATTCTCCTCCCACCAGGTAGCCAGTGGCCGAACGGTGTCGGCCTGGGGGCTAGGCCCCAGGGAACCTACTTCTGGCCTTGGGACGAGGTCAGCAACAAAACTCCCAGGCCAGAAAAGTCTCCAAGGGCCAGTCTGCCATGCCGGTGGACCTGAAGGCCTCAACCCTCAGGTTCCCCTTTTCTTTCTTTATACCAGGAAAATCATCCCCCCCTCCCCCGCCCCGGCACAACGCGGTGCTGCTTCCGAAGTGCCTGCTGAGAAGCGCCACCCTGCCCCAAGCAACAGCCTTCTGGGGAAGGAGCCCAGCACGCGACGCCCAGCTAGACTGCAGCAGAGGAACGGCGAGGCCAGGCGTGCAGGCCCGGCGGAGGAGAGCGGGCCGCACCGACGCCCAGCGGGCCGGCAAAGCCGGCGGGAAAGGGCGTGCGAGGAGAAGGGCGGGGCGAGCGTCCGCCCGCGGCTCCCGCGCTCAGGCGCCGCTCCACCTTAAGCTCGGGACCCCCTTAAGGGCGGGCACTGGAGCCGCGCGCCCGGAGGCGGGGTCTCCCATGCAAATGAGGGGCGTGGGTCGGCGGGGCGGGGCGGGCGGGGCGCTGACCTGACGTCAGGCCGGCGGCCCGGGCAGTTGGCTCGGCGGCGGCGAAGCGGCAGGAGCGGCGGCGGGAGCGGGGCCGCGCGGCGGGGCGCGGGGAGCGGCGGCGGCCGAGCCGGAGCAACATGGCGCCGGTGGGCGGGGGCGGGCGCCCGGGCGGCGGGCCGGCCCGAGGGCGCCTCCTCCTGGCGGCGCTGCTGCTGCTGGTGCTGATGTGGGCGCGGGGGGCCCGGGGCCAGGGCGACCCCCAGCGGGGCGCCATCCTGGGCATGAGGCTGGCGAGCTGCAACAAATCGTGTGGGATGAACGCGGATGGCATCATCTTCGTGTCCGAAGGCAGCACGGTGAACCTGAGGCTGTACGGCCAGAGGCTGGGCTCCATCTCCAGCAACCTGATCTCCTTCACCGAGGTGGACAACTCCGAGGCCATCCACAACTCCACCAACTGTCCCGAGCTCACCAAGGACCTGGTCGTCCAGCAGCTGGTCAACGTGAGCCGCGGGAACACGTCCGGGATGCTGGTGGTGCTCACTAAGTTCCTCCGGAGGAGCGAAAACATGAAGCTGTATGCATTGTGCACCCGGGCCGGGGTGGACGGTCCCTGGCAGAGGTGGACCGATAAGGACTCGCTGCTCTTCATGGTGGAGGAGGCTGGGAGGTTCCTGCCCCTCTGGCTGCACATCCTCCTCATTATGGTGCTGCTGGGGCTGTCGGGCATATTTTCTGGCCTCAACCTGGGGCTTATGGCCCTGGACCCCATGGAGCTGCGCATCGTGCAGAACTGTGGCACACAGAAGGAGAGGCGCTATGCCCGCAAGATCGAGCCCATCCGGCGCAAGGGCAACTACTTACTCTGCTCGCTGCTTCTGGGAAACGTGCTGGTCAACACGTCCCTCACCATCCTTCTAGACAACCTCATCGGGTCTGGGCTCATGGCGGTGGCGTCTTCCACCATTGGCATTGTCATCTTTGGGGAGATCGTACCTCAGGCCTTGTGCTCCCGACACGGCCTGGCTGTGGGTGCCAACACTATCATTCTCACCAAATTTTTTATGCTACTCACCTTCCCCCTCAGTTTCCCCATCAGCAAGCTCCTGGATTTTGTTTTGGGCCAGGAAATTCGCACCGTTTACAACCGGGAGAAGCTGATGGAGATGTTGAAGGTAACGGAGCCCTATAACGACCTGGTGAAAGAGGAGCTAAATATGATCCAGGGTGCCCTGGAGCTACGGACCAAAACCGTGGAGGATATCATGACCCAGCTCCAAGACTGCTTCATGATCCGCAGTGATGCCATCCTGGACTTCAATACCATGTCGGAGATCATGGAGAGCGGCTATACCCGCATCCCCGTGTTTGAAGACGAGCAGTCCAATATTGTAGATATTCTCTATGTCAAAGACTTGGCCTTCGTGGACCCTGATGACTGCACCCCCCTCAAGACCATCACCCGCTTCTATAACCACCCAGTGCATTTCGTCTTCCATGACACCAAGTTGGATGCCATGCTGGAGGAGTTCAAGAAGGGTAAGGCCTGATGGAGCTCTCCCTGTTAGCTGGCTTTGTGACGCTTCTCGTTCCCTTGCCTGTTTTGTGTCGGCTGTTCTTAAGTGTTTCGGTGTGACTGTCCCTTTGCGCATCGCTTCCAGTGCCTCTGAGGTGAATGGCATTTGGGGCAGCAGGAACAGTTCATAAGCATCTGCCGTTTGCCAGGTACTGTGCTTTGTGCTCCAGGTGAATCAGAGCCGAGACACGCTGGTGCACTTGGAGGGATAGAGCAAGGCCTCAGGGAGCTACTGAAGCAGGACAGAGTAAGGCCTTAAAAGAGGCCATGGAGATTACAGTGTGGGGCCACCCATCTGATTGGGGTGAGGTGGGGAAGGGGCTGGAGCCCTGGGAAAACCTTCACAGGAGGAGGGAGCGTTGAAGGGAGAGCCTGAAGATGTGGGGAAACCTGGTGCCTCAGGCAGGGGGAGCCCCACAAGGAGCAGAGCACCTGAGTGGGGAAGCAAAGGATGTGCTTGTGGCCCAGCAGGTGGTCCTATTGAGCTGGGTTTGAGTCTGCTGCTCTGTGGTCAGTGGGGAGAGGCTGAGTCATCTGGGGCCTTTGGAAGCGCCTGAAGACAGGGCGGTGCGTTTGCTTGGTGCTGTCGGAAGTTTTTGAGCAAGAGTGATGTTTCTGGAGCTCCTAACCCACAGAAGCTGAATTAGGAGGTCTCTGGTTGGCTCCCCACTCAGAACAGTGCCAAGTAATGCTTTCGACTATTCTGCAGAAGCAAGCAGATCAAGTTTTGGTTATTGTTCTGTCTTTTCCCAGGCGCCAAACATAAGCTTCCCTCCTGTGGTCTGTTGGAAATCTTCAGCTGGCCTTGCAGTGCCTTGTGTTTTTTTTCTCACATGGGTTCTTGGCCAGTTCTCAGGTCGTTAGAGAGGCACTTGGAGGTTTTACTCATCAGCCTCAAAGCTCAGGGCACACACCCCTTTCCTTACTTCCGACAAAACTTTCCTCCCACCTCTGCCACTCAGAAGTCCTCAGTGGCAGTAAACAAGCCAATTATGGAGTAAAACCCTCCTAGGCCACAGGGAGTGAGGAGGCAGAAAGGGAAGCTCTTTATAAAGGAATGGGGGAGGGGAGGGCGCACATCTTAAATCCAGGACTTTGCTTCCCTTCCCCATAGGTAGAGCTCCTGCTGGCTAAGGCAGCCTACCCACCCAGGGCACTCCAGCAGGGAGCGAGTCTCAGATGCGGAGGGGAGAGCCTGGGACTGGATGGGTCAGGGGTGATGGGGTGGGATAGGTGGTAGGAGCAGGCCTTGCCCGGTTTGCTCTGCAGAGGTGCTCTGGTCAGGGCCAGAGTGGGTTACTGATACCCTCCCTTTTTCAGAGGGACAGACAGAGTGAATCTCAGCATCAGAACTGAGAAGGACTGGAGTAATAGAAGTCCAAGTGGGAGACAGCCTGGTAAGGTGACCTCATTGCAGAGAGACTGAAGGGACCTGGACATCTGGTGGTGATGGCCCCGTGCTGGGGCAGCTTTGCAGGTGCAGGCCCAGGAACCGGTTTCTCCCAGGTAGCTGATCCTGGAGTAGAGAAGTGAGGATCTGTGCCCTCCCCCGACCCTGCAGCCTCTTGGCCCTGAAGACTTCTCCCATGTTGCTTGGTCAGGAACCTGGTTAGGCCTCGCTAGGGCGGCTTCCTGCTCACCACCTCTGTGGTCTTTGGGATGGTTGCTGGTGACACACCCATCAAGCACGTTTGCATCGTCCAGCTTGGATCTGGAGCCAACTGGTATGGATTGGCTTGGCCAGGCTTCCCAGCCCCGGATCAGGAGGGCTGAGCTCTTGTCCGGTGGGAGCTTCCTGGGTCTTGGCAGGGGCATCTTTGGACTCATCTTGCAAAAAGGAGTACCACTTCAGGAAGCTGGGAAAACAGAGCTAGCATCTTTCAGGCCAGAGCTCTGATGAGCGGAATTCTCCAAATGTACATTTTAGTTCACTGGAGTCTCCTTAACAGAGGCTGGTCGTCTGAGCCTGAGTGCTAGCCCTAGCCCTAGCCCTAGCCCTAGCCCTGGAGGGGGTGCTCCTGATTCCGTGGAAACGCAGGCGTAGTCTACCCAGGGCAGCCTGAAGCTGTGGAGGTGTGAGTGTGATATGATGGTCACCCCTAATGGACACACCCTGGGGCTTTGTGGTTCCATCCTAACTCATTGCCACCCTGGGCTGCCCCCAGTATGGTCTCTCCCAGATCTTTTCATCTGGCATTTACCTTTTTAGTCTGAGGCCCTCTTGGACACGGAAAACACTTTACATCTGCATCTTAAAAGATTCTCTTTACACATCTGGTGTTTGGAAGGCTTTTGTAGCTAAGAAAAACAAGGGAGCAGTGTTAACATGGCTAGCACTGTCAGCAGCATCAGAACAAGAGCTGGGGGCCTGCCAGGTGTAGCCAAGCATCTCCCTGAGGGTCTTTGCTATGCTTTCGTGAACTCTCCAAGTTGGGTAAGGTCCCTAACCTCTGCCAGAGTCTTTCTGCTCTGCGTGTAATCCTCTTTTAAGATCATTTTATCTCCTCCTTGCTCCCCAGCTTTATGAGCTCCTCGTGGGTAGGGATCAGACCTTAGTAGTGTTTTCACCACCCAGTGCCTGGAAAGGGATGGCTCTTTAGTAAATATTTGTTAAATGAATGAATGAATGAATGAATGAATGAAAGAATGAGCAATGAATGAATGACTGACAAGCCCTGCCAGCCTTCTTGCTGTTCCTTGTACACACCAGGATGCTCCCGCCTGAGGGCCTTTGCCCTGGCTGTTCCTTCAGGTTGGATGTTTTTCCCCAGATGTTGTAGGCCTCACTCTCCCCTCCCTCGTGCTTGCTTCAGCTTCACCTTCTCAGTGAGGCCTTCCTGGCGCCCTATTTAAAACTATGACCTCCCGGGGCGCCTGGGTGGCTCAGTCGTTAAGTGTCTGCCTTTGGCTCAGGTCATGTTCCCCGGGTCCTGGGATCCAGCGCCGCATGAGGCTCCCTGCTCTGCGGGAAGCCTGCTTCTCCCTCTCCCACTCCCCCTGCTTATGTTCCCTCTCTCGCTGTGTCTCTCTCTGTCAAATAAATAAATAAAATCTTAAAAAAATAAAATAAAAATAAAACTATAAGCTCCCATCCTCCCCAACCTTCCTCATCTCCTCTACCCTGTGCTAATTTTTCTTTTTCTCATAGCACAAATCACTTTCTAACAACTCCGTAATTTACAAATCTGTGCTGTTTGTCTGTCTCCTCCTGTTAGAATATTAAGTTCCAAAGAGCAGAGCTCTTTGTATTGTTCACTGGCATATCCCTAGCCCCTAGAATGGTTCTTGGCACATGGTAAGATAAGATCTCAATAAAAGATCACTGTGTGAATGAATGATCTGTTAGATTTGGGACTAATCTGGGGACACCCATTCCATAGTGCTAGAATGTTGAGGAGCCGAAATCCAGGGAACTTGATATTTCTAGTTGCACCGAGGAAGACAGGAGGGGCTCCGACAATGACATATATATTAATGGTTCAGGGATCGAGAAGCAGAGTTTGGGGTCTTGAGAGTGACGCATGGTTCCCCTTTCCTGTGCCTCAGTTTCTGTGAATAAGCGGTTTTTGACCGTCGGGCATGTACATAGCTTCCCTCATTAGTGTGAGTCATGAAGATGCTCCTGTGTACACAGTTAGAGACAGGCTCCAGGAGTCCGTGCAGGCATGGGGCTGAGCTTCCCTTGGAGACTAAGGCAGGCTTACAGCTTCCCAGCTGCTTTGCCTCCCAACTCGAGGCATTTATCATTAGATATTTATTGAAACTCATACTCTCTGTGCAAGACACGGAGCTAGGCACCACAGGACCTAGGAGAATAGACCATCTGGTTGGCTAGAGCTGTAAGGCCACTGAGAGGCTCATGCCATTTGACCTTGGTCCTTCAACTTACACCTCACCTAGAACTGTTTGCAGCACGGGGTGTTGTGGTTGACTTTGTCTACAGCTTGAGATCTTAGAGGCTCCCTGGGCTCCTCCTGGCCCAGTTGCAGTTTTCTTTTACCAAAGATGCCCTCGCAGACCCTGGAGGCAGAGTAATGAATAAACTCTCCCAAGTAGAAGTCAGAAGCTCCAGCTCCACAAGGAAGCCCACCTTCCAGCTTTCCGCTGTCCCTTCCTCTGTGACATTCCTGTCCCTCTCAGGCACTGGGCTCATCTGTAGTCATCTTATCTTTCCCCACCTACTTTATGACCATCTAGCCCCCTGTAAAGACTTGGGTTTAAACTCCACCCAGCTTGGTTTCCGACCCATGAGGTGACTTTGGACCTATTACTGGCCTCATAGAAAGTTAGCGTGTTTACATATTGAAGGGGAAAAAGCTAGAAATATTTTTGTTGAAAACTCCTCCCATATTTCCATCTGTGCCACATCACACTTCTCCCACGTACTTTTTTTCTTCCTGAAACAACTTTATCAAGTCAAGAAAAAACAGTGCATAATTTTTGCATTCACTTTTGGTTCCTACCATCTGACACACTTTAAGTATCTTATTTCCCTCCGTTTGCTTGTTCGTTCATTTGTTGCAACAAACATCTAATTTTCTGAGGCCTGTGGTGTCAGACACTGTGCTCGCTGTTGGGAGTCAGAGAGGACTAAAACAGCCCTGTTGACAGAACTCTCAGTCTAGCAGGGAGACAGACCTTGTAAACAAAGCTTACTGTTCCCGGTTCAGGTAGGTGCAGTGGGGCCAAGGAAGGCCTGGGCCCTCGAGATGCTTCTGAAGTCGGAATAACAGGACTCCGTGATCACTTCGGAGATGTTGGAGTCAGGACCAGGAAGCAGTTGTGAATATCTGAGCTTTCTAGCTAGGGCTTCAGATTGATGATGTTGTCATTTAACAGAAGTGGGGAGAGGAAGAAGCAGAGACAGTTTGGAGGGTTGTGGGTGGCGGGGGTGTGGTGGTGGTAAATTTACAGCAATGTGACCCTTTTTTTTTAAGATTTTATTTATTTATTTGAGAGAGAG